CTGTTTAGATTGTCAAAAAGCCTGTGTTTTTAGGGTTATYAACGAAGTTCGTGTACTCAGACCAGTAATATTTGGGGTCACAAGTTTTTGCCGTGGATATTTTGTGGGTCAGAAGATAAAAAGTTTAGGAACCACTGAGCTACGTTATCATAATCTCTTAAAGAGACACTTTGTTGCAGCTGCAACAAATAATCTAAATAAAAAGGTTATAGTTGATCCACTTTGCATCAGGTTCTACAAAGWTGTTTTGATCATTCTGTTTGACTGTTGCTTTTAGAAACTGCGTGTTTTTGTTAACATGAAGCAATTGGTGCAAATTAGTTCAAAACTTTGCTTCAGATCCTTCCTCACCACACGGCCAACTGGTTTCAAAGGCAAAGACTGAGCTGAACATTGGCTTCATGTTTTGTTGGCATGTCACCATCCAGTCTGTGCTGTTATTACAGCAGGACYGGACCCACCGAGTGGCGAGGCAACAATAGTTGACGACTGAGGCTTCAGTTTCACGGTCAAGTTCAACAGTTTGGACATGTTTCTGCTATCTACTCAGGTTTTGAGTGATCGGTGGTTGACTCGGTGGTACGCCTAAAAACACCCAGTGAGGTTTCTTCTTCCTATTTCACTTCTGCCCTGCCTGATTGGTGCAGGTTGCATCACAGGCTGCATGTTGTGTTTCTATGGCCGCCGTGTGAGACGGTGTTTTTGCTGCGATCAGATGAGGAGACAGATGGACAGATGGCGATGAGGAACCCGAGCACCCTGCAAGAAATGACTCACATTTTATTGTAACATTTGGATATATTTAAGAAAAGAACATCACACCCTCATTGCAGCACTTGGACTGTGGCTTCGTGGTTGTGGAGTCGCTGCAGATCCATGCTTGTGGAGTCACATAATCTACCTCAAAAATCTGGTTTGGAGAGAAAAATCTGATCAGATCAACATTTTTTTTCATAAAAATTAAAAGTTTTTCTCTGTGACATCAGATGTTTGGGTAAAAGTTAAGGGTTTAAACTCCTTGAAAGTATATATTACCACAGATTTTCACGCCAGAGTTTTAGACTGATATCATTATATGCATTATTGTAAAACGTTGTGCTCAAAGTTTGTGAATAACTCTCAGCCACCAAATTTTTCTGCGATATTTATAAAGTAGACTGAATTATAGCCATTTTTGTTTTTTCAAAAGTCAGTCGGTTGTAACGAACATCTTGAAATGGATTGGTTTTAAAAGCTTATCAGTAGTAGATGTACATCTGATGATTATTTCCTGAAAGCTTCATCAAAATCTAATCAGTGGTCCGTGAGATATTTTACTAACAGACTAACAGAGCTGTCTCCAAGTGCAGTAGTTAATGGCAAAACTTTCAACAAAGATATTGTACATTTTATTAGTTCTCAAACTATGTGTAGAGGATCAGTTTGACCAACTACAACACCCAGTTTTAGGCCAGTCTCTGGGAAACTGACTGAATTATAACTATTTTATATTTTTAAAGTCAGCTGGCTGTGGCACCCATACTGAATCGAGTTGTCTGCAATAGTTAATCAGTTAGAGAAGCATAGTTAACTAGAGAATGTGCATATCCTGCAAAAATACAGCGTGAGTGCTTAATGCTGAAAGATTTTGCTGAATAGCTGAAAAATCTGAAACTAGACTACAATAGCTTGAAAAAAGCTGAAATCAGCACAAAAAACAGAAAGAGCACATATTGCTGAATTAAGCATGAGAAGCTGAAATGATCACAAAAGGTTGAATTTAGTTGRAAAAAACTCATATTAGCTTAAAAAAGTAACTGAAATTTCAGAAAATAGCAGAAAATTGGCTGTATATCTTCTGATTTCTCACACCTGTGTCACACAAAACAGCAGCTTTAAACTCTTTAAAGCTTCTGATAAGCGATCAAAAAAAAAAAGAAAGAAAGAAACTATGCTGTGTGCCAAGCTGCTGACGCAGTCATAATAATAAAATGTTTTCAGGATGTAATTTCCCCTGATTGTATTGAATAAATGACTTTCCAGTGGAGGTCATGGTGAGGCCAAAGAAACTAAAAACGACAATAAATGTTCGAACAAAAGATCTCAGTGCGATTTATCAAAATCTGGGGTTGATGGAGCAGAGTTTTTCTGCACAAATTTAAATCTTGCGGACAAGTCGTTCAAAGGAAAATGGGTTTTGCATCCTCACTGTTAAGTTTACAGTAAAGGCTTTGAAATAAAGCTAAAATAAAACAGTTTGCACATAATGCGCAACACAAAACAGCCCAGACTGTTGTATTTGAATCCTTAAAAATGAAATCTAATTGCACTTTAGGGCTTTCTTTAAGTAAAAAACAGACAAACGAATGAARTTAATCTAAAATTGATCAAATAACAGTACATTTTCAACATTTCTGCAGGTTCTGTTACCCAACAGTGTATAAATCATGCAGTTAAAGTGTACTTTTTCCCAGCAGAGCTTATTTTGCGTCAGTCCGACTCAGCACAGGGTAATGACAGAGCACTGCGCTTCACACGAGGAGATGAAAAGTGGTGATTATTGTCGGAGCCCAAAGCTTCTGTAGCCATCACTAACCTCTGTCTGCTACTGTGTCACCGTGCAGGGAAGACAGGAGTATCTGCAGCCCAGATGTCCTCACAACATACATGTGGCAATTTGCTTTCAAATCGTTTAGTTTCTTCCCATTTCTTTAGCTACCATGGAAAAATTCTCCTAAAGTATTTTTTAAAGAAATGCACAATGGTCACCCCTAAAAAGATAAAATGATGGTCCTCTTTATGGGGTGCCAAGTGTCAAATAAATTATTAAAAAATGTCTCTACATAAAAAAAAAAAAAAGGCTCTACATTTCCATTAATTAGCTCGCTTTTGTCCCGAGCTCAGTTTGACGAGCCGCTGACCCGGAGCATCTCCTGCCCGGACACCGACTACAGGCACTCAATTTCAGCTAAAGTTAATCTCAGGTTAGTGGACACCATTCGGGAAACCGTCCCGTCGGAAAAAAGCGTCACACAGTGGAGTTTCTGATTGTCGAGCTAGGAGAGTTCCGATTTTCTTTCTCCAGCGTTCAACGCATGGAACGCGCGTCAAGCACGTCGAACGCTCTAAACAGCACTTCCCGAYGCTCCTGGATGCRCATCCGYCACAAGTACCATCCATATTGTTTTTAATGGACACATTCTGAATTAAATTTTTTAATACAATCTGCACCCCCCACCCCAGCCTATCACGTGTGAGTAATATGGATATTTGGTGAAAATTATGGATTTTTGAGAGTCAAGATACAGGATAAAAGGGGTTGACATAAACATGACATGTACAGTTTTTTCATTGTCTGATGCCTTGACTTTTCAGAATTATGTTTTGTATAGTGGTATTAGTTTATATTTTCAGATCTTCCAAGGTGCCAATAATGGAACTCTGTGCATTGTTGCCCAAATCAAATTCTGGAAGTGGTCATTCAACTAGATCTGTTACAAAAGGACAGCTGATATTACCAACTTTTAAAAACTGTTACRGCCAGAGGTCTTTCTTCTATGTTTATACTAAAGCATGGAATGACATTCCTCAAAACATAAAGCCCATTTCAAAACTACTGCCCTTTAAGAAGAATCTTGTCTGCCATCTGCTGGACACTTTCTGTTGTGCTCATATTTAGACGCTCTATTTTGCAAATGCTGCCTTTTTGAAATTTGGTATGCTTGTTTGTCTTTGTGTCTATAATGTATAATGATGTGATTGTGATGCTGTAATTCTGAGTGTTTTATGTGCTGCAGAACAGGAACCTGCTGCAAAACAGCACTTATGCTGAGTCAGGCTTGATTTTTAATAATCTTTTCCTGTTAAATCAATAAATCAAATCAAATCAATAATGGTGAAAAGAATAAAATGAAACAGAACATATGTTGTCATATCATACATATGCCTACTGCTGCATTTTTCCCCCTAACAACCTATTTATGACAACATTAAGTGGCTTTTGATTTTAGTGCCACCCCAGGATTTTGTGGGCCCCCCCATTAAACATTTCTGTTGGCGCCACTGCCATGGAGGCACCAAAAGCTCGAATTCCAGTCAGTTCCAGTCAGACCATTTTAAACAACAAGCTGCTGGACCTGAACCGGTTTCACACAAATCAAACAAAGATAAGGGGACTTTATTTCCCAGAATGCAACGCGCGCCGTGACGCGCACAACAGCTGACAGACGGTGAAAAGCGTCTCTCTGAGCCGTCGGTGGAAAGCCCGACACGGACTGAAAACATACGAGCCGAGCCTGGCCGGACCTCGGGCGAACTTGTCTGGATACGATTAAAAATATACATATCGATTTAAAAAAAAAAACCCAATATTCAGCTCGGGATTTTTTTATTTTTATTTATTTATTTGTTTAGTTTGAAAGCCGGGGGAAGCTGTTTTTGGTGGAGGAGGTTGGGGAAACGACAACCTACTCCTGTCAGCTAACTTCCAGACCACGGCAGGTCGCTGCCTATGTYTTCACCGAGCTCAGCGGTTTGACTCCCGGCCCCTCCAGCCGTGCCCCGATGCTGAGGAATGGACAGCGTGTCTGCTAAAGGTGGGAACATGGTCGAGAGTGATGAGCAGCCGGAGAGGAGGGACCACGGCGGCGGCGCAGCGACCATGGCCGCGCTGCATCAATGCGAACTCATCCAGAATATGATTGATATCTCCATCTCCAGCTTACAGGGGCTACGGACCAAATGCGCCGCGTCCAACGACCTCACGCAGCAAGAAATCCGCACTTTAGAGGTAACGAGCTTTCGCGGATATCATACATATATATATAAAAAGGGTCGTCCTTGCCAAGCTAAACTGCGGAGTCATGAAGCGCTCTATGTCCGCCTCTGAATAAAACGAGGGGCTGCACATTTTTTATTTTTTATTTATTTTGGCTCGGTGATGCATTGAGGTGAATACCTTCCATAGGATTATCAGAATGGCTTTGTGTTCATTATTACCTTGCTGGTGCGCTTTGAAGACATCAGTGATTTATGGGATCCAGCTGGATGTGCGTGACCTTTCTGCGTTATTCTGCGAGGAGCAAGCGCTCGGTGCGCCGCCTGGCCTAATGGCACACATTCAATAATCTGATGCAGCTTTTATCTGTTACTGGATTCAGTCTGTCTGTACAGACAGCAGCAGCCAGGCCGAGAAAACAGGTTTATCTNCTTCAAATGCAGGCAGGAGAGGTTGATGTTATCCTGCGTCTGAATCAAATCTGTCGTTTTAAAAGGACTTGCCAAGATTTTCCTTTTTTTAAATTGTGTTTGTTTATTTCTTTTTGCCTCAAACCATCTCTGTGCAGGGCAATGTCTCCTCCTGCGGCTGGCATTATGATAGAGAAGTCATGCCTGCTGACTTGAACGGCGTCAGCAAAGAATTTGCAGCGTAATTTTCTCCCTTAAAGTGCTAGTTGGGATCTTTTTGAGGCGGGGTTCTGTAGAGGAAGGGTTCTAATCAATATGTCACCTGCTGTGCATGGGTTTTTAAAGGGCCTCAATATGGGGAAACTAAATTCTATAGAACTAAATTAAAAAAAAGAGATCGTTGCCCAGTTTTCAGCCATGAAGCATGTGAAAAACATGCTTGTTAATGCTCTTATTTCTTAGTTTTGTTCCACACAAAATTTTGACCACAGCTGGTAACAATAGGTGTAAATGTTTATAAGTCATCAGTGTGTAGTTTTGTGATGGTGGCTGTTGTAAATTTTTGCAGCATTCCGAGGATTTGTTTTTGTTTACTTGTAGTTTTTAGGCGTTCCATGCAATATTTAACTCTTGTTTTTTTTTTTTTTTAATATTTAGGATAAAAACTTCCTGCTGCCTTTACATCTTCACCCAAAATGTCATAGCTGCTCATCGGAACATCATTTTAATAACATTGTTGTCCATTTGCTGGAACACAATTATTTACAAAGATTTCYGTGGTTATTTGCAAGCACAAATACCAGCAAACAGCAGCTACCTGTGCTAATGCARCCTATGTGACACTTATAGCAGTAATATTTCTGCCTGATAAAACCATTACATGCAAAATAAACTGTGGTATGAAGGTTTGTGAAATAGCGTTCACATGAACTTCTATTAAATTTTGAAAATCGTAGTTGCTTTAAGACAGCAGCCATCAACTTTAGCATTGGTCCAACTTAGCTTGTCACAATTATCTACAACAGGTAAGATATTTTTTGTTCATAAACCTTTAACAAAACCCTACTTGAAATAAATAGGTCTTGTTTCTGTCAAGCTATGAAGCCGGAGATTTATGTTTAGACATAAATAGCCAGACAAAACACATTAAGATGGAAAAAAAGTAAGATATTACATCTTTATGCCTGTACAGATGGATATTTTAAGGGTAGTGGAAAGCTCCAAAAATGCTCACAATGTAGAGACATGATAGATGGTAAATGGGTTTTCTAGTTCATGGTTTATTTAGGTCTTATACCTTGGCTAAAAGGAATCTTCAGTCCTGATTGGCTGGAGGCTATCAATTATCCATGTCTGTTTTATTTCAGTATAACTGAACACCCCTATGAACAATTGTACCGCTGGCCCTAAAACGTAACGTTCCAGAGAGCGCAGGGCRTTTAGTTTCAGTGAGACACAATCGGCTAGTCTCAAAAGCTTTGTTAATAATCTGAAAGAATCACGGCTAGTGAATAAATTAGCTCTTTTAAGCTTTCATTTGCTAAATTTAATCGTATCAGTAGTTTTGTTATGTTTGGGTTGATTTTTATTTATTTTTTTAGCAGAGAAAATGGATAACTTAAAAAGAAAAAAATATTGTACCCTAAAGTAAGTAATGTAAAAATGTTTCATAATCACAGGTGCAGCTTTTTCTCCAGTTTAAAAGAAAAAAAATGCTTTGATATGCTGCAGGTGGAAATTTGCTCGGTGGGAGCAAATGTTTTACTGACTCTATTTGTGAAGCTTTGCACTAAAATGGAAAAAAAAAAAAGGTCAGAATGTTTGGAATGGAAACCTGACAGACTTGGTTTGCTGATCTCTCACTTGTCTTTTTGAGCCCACCTCACGCCCACTCTACTCTTTCTGTTCAGTAAGAACAAATGAAGCTGAAAATACTGAGTACATTTTTTTTTCGGGCTTCCTGAAGCGAAGATGTAAGTTTTCTGATGCAAGCCTGAACTGGTTAATGGAATCATGAAGTCTTGGCTTGTTCTTGTCAGCATTCTTCTACTCTTCTTTTTTTCTYCGTCCTCATGTGTGCCTTGTCAGTGCAACAGGACGTGATCTGGCAGAGTACTTCCTGAGGTATGTTGTGTCGTCGATAGGTTTTGCACCGGCATTGTTCTACATGACAATGGACACGCAGGGCTGCTCTCACATGCTTCTTGAAGACTATAAAAACTCTTCTGTAGTTCTTTTCCGTGTGTGTGTGTGTTGTTTTTCTATGAAACGTTAGCAGCTGTCTCGCAAAGTTAGCTGTGCAAACAGTGGATGTGGTTACTTCAAGTGACTTTCTGCTCATTTGTGGCCCTGCGAAGCTCAAAATCATTTTTTTGTATGGTTCAGAACCAATAGAAGGCGGGGTTGATATCTATTGGTAGTGCTGAGTTCACAGTACTCTCTGACTTGAAGTTGCTCCCAAGAAGTTGGGTGTTGTAGAAAAATTTAGAATTTTCCAAACATTGATTTTCTTTATATTTAATACTCTATTTTCTTTAGTTGTAGATAGGGCTGCCACAAACRATTATTTTAATAATCGATTAATCACCGATTATTTTTTCGATTAGTTGACTAATCGGATCATACGTTCATTGAATATAAAACATASAGCTTATCACGCCAGAATGCAGCTACTATTATATAACCATGGTTAGATTTTAGCTATATGCTAACTAAAAATAATTGCTGTGGAAGGTAAGTTCTGCTCTGCAGATATTACACAGGTTTCTCTTTCATTTTCTTAAAAAGATCCCACACTTTTGAGCTCCGTTGCTGGGTAGCCATGATACCAGAGCCTGTCTGTATAATGTCTTGTGACGTCCACGRCCTACCCCAGTTACCACTACTGTGCATGTGTGTCAAGGACAGAAAGGCAGACGTGGCAGTGGAAGGTGTCAAAGCAGTTTGGAGAGAAAAACAAAGCAAAGAACAAAAAAAAAGAGAAAACGATTAATCGATTATTAAATTAGTCATCGATTATTTTAATAATCGATTAGTCATCGATTAATCAATTAATCGTGGCAGCCCTAGTTGTAGACTTGTGAATGTAGTAGCATTGTGTTGTAAAGTACAACTGTGCAAGTACTGTGACTTTAAAAGTAATCATCCGTTTAGTAACAGAATTTCACCACAGTTGTGTACAGTTTGTCTTTTTTTTAAATGATTTCCGTTTCACCATTTTTCTCTGGAAAGTTCTTCGTTTCTTATTGCAAACCAACAAGCAAATTCTTAATAACTAGTAATGATTCTTTCCTAATTCAGTCATATTCATTTTTTTTCACAACTGCAATGTAATCTTGTTTAAAATAGTGTATTTTGGGGCTGATTTGATATAAGAGCAATAAAAGTCCTTCAAAATTAAAGCAAAACACCCTCAAAATGGCTTATATGAGGCCAAAAACTACATTTAGGGTGAAAATTTTAATTGCCATCAAGTCAGTTTTCAACRCTTGTTCTGTTATCACCATCTTTTTAGGAAAAGTGAATATTTAACTCAGTAATTAGCAATCTGATTATTTCACATTAAACGTTGTGACCAGAATCATTGCCAGGATAGCAATTATTTTTTAACTAAGCTGCCAGGCCTTGTGGTTTGGTGGAGATAAACGGCCTTACTTCCTATGCCGTTACTGGCACACTGTTGCAACTTGACTTGCGATTGCACTTTCACTTTTTGCCTTGGTACTCATCGAGGATTCTCTCGCCACGTTTCATAGTAATGTAACAACGGAATGTTTAGCAACAGATTTAGCCATGATTTAAAATCTGAAGCTTCTGGAAGGACGAGTCGAGGCTTAATTTTTTTTAACTGCTCTGTTTTCTGCTGAGATGTGGGTGGACGTGGAAGGTGGCCTGTCGGTGCCTTGGGATTCTAGCGAGCGCACCCGTTCTGCAACTGTAAATACACAGTGTGAGCCCTGCTCTGTAGCAGATGTAGCACAGCAGAGATGTAATTACTACCGAAGCTGCTAATTCAGGCGCTGAATTYGCTCAATCCGTCTGAGGTCAGAAGTTGTCTCACTTGTGGTGCTCAGGGGTTAGCATCCCCATATTGCACTGGAGTGCAATGAAGAGCAGCTTGAACTGGCTTTATTCTCTCATCGAGTGAGCTTTATTATTCCACTCGAACCACGTGTTTTTTTTTTTTTCATCTAGTGAGAGGGTAATGATACTAGCCTCTCAAATGGAGTGCTAACTGGCACTTCACTTTTCACATGTTAATCCCACACAGCTTGGTCCCTGTCTGCCTCTTGTGCTACCTCTGTTACTGTACTCTCCTGCACTGACTTACAACTACATAAAAAAAGACTTACATAACTCAGAAACAGAAAGAACCATTTAGATRCATTCTGAAAGGGTTTTACATAGACCTGAAATAAAAATGCTGTGGGGCRTTCAAATTTGCATGAAAGCAGTTTACTATCCTATCCCTCTTGGACAGTGCATTCTGTAGTGCTCTGCAAACAGCAGAGCATAAATGCTGTTTTGTTTCCTCCTGGTGTTGGGGAGAGTTTTGCGGCGCGCTCGTGGTGGCGAGCTGTTGTGGCTGCGTCTATATTTAGA